CTCCTCTTCTTCTTCTTCTTCTTCTTCTTCTTCTTCTTCTTCTTCTTCTTCTTCTTCTTCTTCTTCTTCTTCTTCTTCTTCTTCTTCTTCTTCTTCTTCTTCTTCTTCTTCTTCTTCTTTTTCTTCTTCTTCTTCCTATTATTAGTATTATTATTATTTTTCACTGTCATCAGTCATATTCAGATGATTCAAATCATTGAGATCGACTTCATTGCACCTAGTATTATTCCACATGGCTCAGTCTCTCGGTGTAGAACGGCTAGCTGCCTGTTGAGAGCTGTTATACATAGCACGAATTCCGTAGCTACAGCGATGATCCCAGTAAGCTTTTCACTTTATCCCACATTATCCCGCCACATCCATCCACCTTCACCTGTGTGTTCGTGTGGTCATAAGCTGCCTTGCTGTATTTAGAAGCGATGAGAAGCATGTCCGTGTGTCGTCAAAGTTCAAACACAACCACACAAACCAGACAAATACCGCAGACAAAAATCGTGAGTTTTACAGTTTCCAAAACGAGTTGTGTGAATAGTTGCTGTGCGGATTTGTCAGACACAGACGGGAAGACAAATATTGGGGGCCTCTAGGACCTCCAGGGGGTGGGACGTGCAATGGAGAGGGAGGTAGGATAGGGTGTTATGATAAAAATGTTTTGCAGAATCTGGTGTGCAGTGTTTTAACTGAGTGGCTGGGACACCCCCCCCCCTCCATCCACCAATTCAGTAATTTAGTAGGTAATGGAGTGGTATGTCCGTACTTCATTAAGTAACTAGGCTGGTAATAGAGTTACCTGCCCTTAGTTCATTGTTTTAGTAGAAAAACATGCAACTGGAGTTGTCTGCCCCTTTCCCCGTCGTTTGCCATTGTCATTCACCTCATCATCATCATCATTACCATATTATCTTTATCGTCATCACCATTATCATGATCAGCATCGTCGTCGTCATCATCATCATTATTATTTCATCATCCCCCTCACCGTCATCATCATTTTATAGCATCATCATCCTCATTATCATCCTCATCGTTATCATTATCATCACCATCATCATCATTATCAACATCATCATCATCCTCAACATCATTATCCGCATCTTCGTCATAATCATCATGATTATTTCATCATTATAATCACCGTCATCATCATCATCATTTTATATAATAATCATCATCATCATCATCATTATCATCATCACCATCACCACCCTGTTTGACCTTAATATATCACACCGAAAACGGGACTAACAATCTATACCCCCATTCCGCTCTCTCCTGTTACATGTTTGCTTCTTCCACTAACTTGACAGACAACGGCCGTGTCTATCCGTACTGTATCGTTTAACGCCATCAATAATGCGTGTGAAAGTCAGGAAACGATTTCTTTTACACATGTGGCCCACTGGACATGTTGTGCTGGACTTGTCGTTTTAAAAAGCAGTCAGCATTCTTTGTGGTCCCACTCACAGTGGCCGCCTTTACTTTCTTGTTGCGTATTTTAGACCGGGCGGTCCTGGGAGAGAAAGTCCATTTTGAATTTAGAAGAAATGACGATATGGACTCCGGACGTCCGGGCCAACAGTGAACGTGTAGCCGCCAAAGATACGTTGCACCTACTAAATATTTGGAAAAAGATGTATTTACAATCATGCCACATTATCAACAGAGTTCAGATTTGTATTTACAATCATACTACATCATTAACAGAATTCAGGTTTGTATTTACAATCATGACACATCAGCAACAGAGTTCATGTTTGTATTTACAATCATGCCACATTATCAACAGAGTTCAGAATTGTTTTTACAATCATACCACATCATTAACAGAGTTCAGGTTTGTATTTACAATCATACCACATTATTAACAGAGTTCAGGTTTGTATTTACAATCATACCACATCATTAACAGAGTTCAGGTTTGTATTTACAATCATGCCACATTATTAACAGAGTTCAGGTTTGTATTTACAATCATACCACATCATTAACAGAGTTCAGGTTTGTATTTACAATCATGCCACATCAGCAATAGAATTCATATTTACACTTACAATCATACTCTATTGGGCAAAGAGCAAGATTTCTACCAAAAAGTGAAAAGGCAAACTTCTAAATGACACTTTATATGAATATAGTCACTGTCATCTAGAGTCGTGAAAAGAAATTTTTTTTTCAAACTCATTAAGTGATAATTTACGTAAATATAGTTATCTTCGCCAAAATCGTGAAAATAAGAGGTTATTGTTTTTTACTTATTAAGCGACAAATTGCGTAAATATAGCTATATTAACTAAAAGTCGTGGAAACAAGAGATTTGTTTTCTCATTAGGTGATAGTTATGTAAATACATTTATTATGTGAACTTGGAAAAAGGCTTTACCACAGTAAAACAAGAAGGGGGGAAGCAGAGGAAAGCTGTCTGAGTTTCGTGACTTGAAAAACGGCGGGATAGGGGGCGCCATATTTGTTTTTCGTATTAGCCAGGAACCTCCAACATTTGAAGGCGTTGTTGAATGTTTGCAGTTTCCATAAATGGGCATTGTCAGTTTGAGGGGCGGAGCGTAGGTAATACTTGTAAGACTTGCGTGTTCTAATTAAACAAGCTGCACCCCCAGGGGGAGGAGAAGAAGGAAGGGGGGGGGGGGGTGAGTACAAGCCGATGCTTGGTAATTAAGATGTGACAAGAATAAAATACAGACACCAATAACAGTTTTTTTTTCTCTCTCTCTATATGGTTGCACAGCACGCACCTCCCCTCCCCTCCCCCCCCCCATTGTTTAACCCCCTTGTAATTCTTCACCTGTCTCCGGAGCCAGCTGACCACATCGCGTGGGATGGGGACAAACCCGAGGCTGCTCGTACTTTCACAAACAAGGGGACTATTAAAGTTGGGATGAAACTGGGAGTGTACCATTAGAAGCTGGCTCCTTGAGAGAGCTAGTTGAAACATAGTTTAGTCAGAACGTACCTCAGTTGAATATTTGTTTCGTTAAGTACTATACAATTCTAAAGCACATCTATAGAGAACGTATGAGTGAGCCTGGATAACACTTTTTGTATATTCTATCAAAGCTAAAATTCTGTAGACTTTTTAATGGAACAAAACAAAAGAGAAAAATAAGTTAAGGGATTAATTTAAATTGTGTAAACATATCCTTGCGTTGAACACGGTAGGACAAATAAGAGCAGAACGTTTTCCTCTTTTTCGTAAACTCGGGCGGAAGGTTTCAGTTGTTCATCCATTTTTGGACTTTAGTCTTGTTCCAGAAATTGAGTGACATTTGTTCTTTGTGGATTTAAACCTGTCTTCTGTGAAGTTAGATCAATATGCGGACACTGGTACGACTTTTGTGAAGGAATTTCTTTAAACAAAAATTTAAAAAATAAAATAAAATAGAGAATAGAAAAATAAGTTGAACAAAAAGTATCACAGATCAAGGAAATATGGGTTGTCTTAGGACTAGACTAGGAATCTCTGATATATCGCCCACAGTGAGAAATTCCCAGCGATGTTCACACTGGATTATGTATGTGGTGTTTTTCGTGTCTTTACTGGTGAGTTCATGTTTGTATGTCTGTTTGTTTAGATCCTTTGTTGTTGTTGTTGTTGTTGTTGTTGTTGTTGCATATTAACCAACATTGTGTTATTCATATCAGTGTCGTTATATTAGTGTCACATATGAACATTGTTTTCAGAAGACAGAAAAAAAAAACAACAACAACAAAAGAGTCCCGAGTAAACTCTTCATGCTAGGTTGAGTTTTTGCTGAGTCAAGAATTGACACCAAAGCACACTTGGCATTCCCATGCATGCTCCGTCCTCATCTTCAGCAACCAGCGCAGTTCCACTACTGATGGTACCGGTCACAATCTGGTTATATGTCCGTCTTGCCTTTCCTCTAAGTGTAGTGAGCCGGTGTCTCATTCTCTCCAGGCCATAATAACCTTCTGTCTCTACAGATTCAGTTGCTTGTTCCCAAAGGGCCTTGACAAAATCTGCCTTATCATGTATCAATTCACCACCCAGAATTGCAGATCCAGCCAATCTGTCTGGCTGTTCATCCTTCACCAGGCCACGATGGCCTGGTGAAAGTATCTAAAATTATCCAAAGCATGCTCACTACTCGCACTAAGTGTGACAAGAAAAGAACGACTTATGGACGATGCTATCAGCAGGAGAATCAGCGCAGAATCAATTCTAAACTTTATTAGTAGACAACAAAAATCAAAGGGTTTGGTCATATAACAAGACTGGTAAGAGACAAGGCCCCACTGAGAGCAACGTTATACACATACAGCTGTAACAAAGCTAGAGATTGACCACACAGAACATGGACTACGTAAATATCAGAGAAACTGAAAAGCACTAAATATGAAGCGAACAGAAGGGTCTGTTTCAGAGATCTCTTCCTGCCCTGCGAGGCGTTCCAGGAGCAGAAACAAAGAAGAAGACTGTGTTTGTGTTGCCAGTTCTAAACGGGGACATTAACAACAAGAGAACAAAGAATAATCGAAAAAAAAAAACAACAACCCATAAGTGATAAGTCTACTATGAATCCTAAATAAAAGCAGAAGAGACAAGCAGAAATGAAGATATCATGAAAAAAAGCTGGTATGGAACCAATATTATATAACATCAAGAGACTACAGATCAAATGGTTCAGACATATGTCGAGACTACAGTCAGACAGAGCCCTACAGAGGGCCCTGTCACTTAGTCAGAATGAAAGCCACTAGAGGTGGACCAAGCAAGCGATGGATAGATGTAATATCAGAGGCAGAGAATATCAGCATCTACGTAACACATACTGGAGCTCGCACTCGACGCTGGAAGGCAGAACAGGACTGGAGAAGAAAAAGAAGAAGAAGAAGAAAAAGAAGAAGAAGAAGAAGAAGAAGAAGAAGAAGAAGAAAAAGAAGAAGAAGAAAAAGAAGTAGACGAAGAAGAAGAACAACAACAATTACAAGATAACAAGAAGAATAAGAACAGGAATAAGATTATGTTTTTATTTCCATCTAATTTCAATAACCAACACGTCATCCGTCATGTAACTAGAGCTACCGAGGAGACAGTCAGAACACTCATTTATCTATCCTATGTCCGTCATGTAAGTTAGTAAAACTACTCAGGAAACAATCAGAACACTCCTTCATTTATCAAGAGTGCTGTGATGGGAGACCCCGGTTTTTACCGAATGTTGTCCGTTTTCCATCATTCTCAAAGATACCTAATTTCAAACCGTCTGATTTCCCAACTTGTCTGGATTTTGCTGGGACTAATTGTTTGTTCAATAGTTTTCAACTGGGACAGAGGGACATGTGTGATTTCAGCCGGCTCAAAAACGTAGCAACTATGGGTCGATCTGTCTGCAGGAAGGTTGAAACGACTGCTGCTGTTACGGCTGCTGCTGCTACTACTACAACTGCTGCTGCTACTACTACTACTGCTACTAACTATTCCTCCTACTGCTACAACAACAAAAACTACTACTACTTCTGCTGCTGCTACTACTACTACTACTTCTACTACTACTACTACTACTACTACTACTACTACTACTACTACTACTACTACTACTACTACTACTACTACTACTACTACTACTACTAATACGACTACTACTACTACTACTACTACTAATACGACTACTACTAATACGACTACTACTACTACTACTTCTACTACTACTATTACTACTGCGATTACTACTACTACTAGTACGACTACTACTACTACTACTACTACTACTACTACTACTACTACTACTACTACTACTACTACTACTACTACTACTACTACTACTACTACTGCTGCGACTACTACTACTACTAATACGACTACTACTACTACTACTACTACTACTGTGACTACTACTACTACTACTACTACTACTACTACTACTACTACTACTACTACTACTACTACTGCTACTACTGCTACTACTACTACTACTACTACTACTACTACTACTACTACTACTACTACTACTACTACTACTACTACTACTACTACTACTACTACCACTACTACAATCACCACCAGTACCTTTCATCCTGACTGCAACTTAAATTACTTAAATTTATAGTAAGCCTGGGTTTCATCAGTTCCCTGGTAGTAATTGGCCACATTTAGCAGGGCAGAATATACAATGACAGGGAGCAGACATTGACGTGTGTCTTGTTTAGGTACTTTATAGAAACAGACAGATCCTTGCAAACGTTACAGTCAGACTCCAAGAGACACCACTAACGTTCTGCATTAGATTTAAAACATCGACATACTTCGTCAGATCTATGTAAGCATGGGATAAGACATCGACATGCAACAATCAAATAAAACATTGGCATAATACGTCAGATCTGTAGACGAATGGGATAAAATATTGACCTACTTTGTCAGATCTGTATACGAATGGGATAAAATATTGACCTACTTTGTCAGATCTGTAGACGAATGGGATAAAATATTGACATACTTTGTTAGATCTGTAGACGAATGGGATAAAATATTGACATACTTTGTTAGATCTGTATACGTATGTTATAAAATATTGACATACTTTGTTAGATCTGTATACGAATGGGATAAAATATTGACATACTTTGTCCGATCTGTATACGAATGGGATAAAATATTGACATACTTTGTCAGATCTGTGTAAAAGTGTGGGTAAAACCACATACTACGTTACATCCATTTAAGAGTGAGGAGAACCATCTTAATAGCAAATTCCCTACACTGAGTGATAATTTGGTCATGTCTTTGAGTCATCATTCATCCAGGCACTGTATGTGATTGTACACAATCAATGTGCCATTGAGGGTTATACTGTATTTAATTTAACACTGCTGTGTTAAAATATGCCTAATCTGGTAATCCACTGCTAGACACGTATAAACACCATATAGTTCCTCACTTATATGCTGCCTGTCCATGATTCACTGCCATATACCAAGACTGGTTCTATATAGCTCCAAAGACAGGGCAAATCGACTAAGTTTACTTGAAGGCTAGTATATTGAAAAAAGGGATCGTTACAGAACAAAGGCCCCAACCCCAACATAGAGAGAAAGAACAATAATACAAAACAATCGGCAGTAATCCGCGAACCAATCGATAGGCCTCTGCGGGCCGAATTCGACCTGCGGGCCGCCAGTTGAATAGTCCTGTTTTAAGAGCTGACATGAGCGATAGGATTCTCTCCCTCCCCCAGATTCCTACTGTGGACAGCACCGCCAAAGTTCTTCTGGACATCCGGACGTACAGCAACCCGGGCAACCTCAAGTTGGACGGTCAGTGTTGTGACGGGGAGATGAGCGGCAACGTTTGTGCCGATGAGTGTGAATACAGTATCACTGCATGTCTGGGACAGAGGTAGGTCACTAACTGATTTTTGTTTCGTGATCCGTACAGTCTGATATTTCCTATTTTTTAATACCCACCTTGCAGGACTGGAAGATACGTATGTCACTAACTGATCTTTGTTTCGCGCCCTGCACAGTTTGTATTCCTTCTTTTAACACACGTGCACACACACACACACACACACACACACACACACACACACACTGCATGCCTGGGCCAGAGGTGCGTCACTAACTGATCTGTTGGCCAGAGGTGCGTCACTAACTGATCTTTGTTTCGCGCCCTGCACAGTTTGTATTCCTTCTTTTAACACACACACACACACACACACGCGCGCGCGCACTGCATGCTTGGGCCAGAGGTGCGTCACTAACTGATCTGTCTGGTCTACAGTCTAATATTTGTTCTTCTATAATACACTCCATATCAACACCGACACAGCCAATTGGGAGAATATCAGCTTCAGACCGACTCCTTTGGAGGCAGACAGTGGAAGTTGAAAGAGATCAAAGACAGCAACCTATAGAGAGGAGACTTCTGAGAGAAAAGAAGCCTCAGAACAATAGTGTCTCAGCGTTTTTATTTAGATTATGTGGCAGAGACTGCCCGTCCCGCACTGGACTACAGTAACAGCAGACGCAGTTCCCAAGTCCAGGGGTGCAACTCCATGGTCCCCAAGGACTGTATAATGCACATCTTGAATGACTGGGGGATAAGTAGTCACTAACTGATGTTTGTTTTTCTTGGCCTGATATTCCTTTTTTTTTTAAAAACACACACAGACTACACGCTTGCCATCATCATCATCATGTAGAAGGTCCTTTGCAGAACGTCGCTCTCATCACGATCTGCCTGGAAGAAACTTTGTCTCTTGTCAACTCTCCCGGTGCATGTTCATATCCAATGAGTCACTTATATCATGTGCCCCTATTCGCGGAGGTCGGTCCCTGCCTCTCTACCCTGGTACCATGCCTTCCATGAAAAGTGTCTTGGGATAATAATGTGGTAGTTTGCCCTTGCAATCCACAGCCACCTGGCTTTAGACTATGGCCTCAGCTGTTGGTACACTTTTAGATTGCCAGGGCAATGACGCATGTAAGATAATAGAAACTAACCATCTGTGTGGTGTTGGTAGTCATGTCTAGCCACAACCTTCTGTCTCGTGTACTTTCAGTCAACTTTGACACAAATGATCCTCCATGCCATGATGTCAAACTGTCCAGCATTTTTTTCCTCGGTCTGCCTATGCCTCTCCTCCCCTCCAGCTTTCCTACTGTCACATGTACTCCAGTTTTTCTCCTTTCATCACGTGACCAAAGAATGTAGATTGTCTCTTTCTGATGTTGGCAATCAGTTCGCTTCGTGAGTTAGTTTATTTTGAGACGTCTTCATTACTCCTTTTGTGTGTCCAAGATATATTCTCACCATTCGTCCATGATTCACTTCCGAATATCAAGGTTGGATTTATATAGCTTTTAAGAATTCTCTTTCTCGTCCCAACTGACAAAGACAGATTGCATAAAATATTCTTAATTAGATCAAATGCTTTTTGAAAGCACACAGGGTTGGACAATTGGCTAGAGAAAGAGCCTTTCAGGCGAGGCGTGAAGAGAGCGACGTTCTGTGTAGGATCTGGTGATGTATTAGTTAATAAGGAAAGAGGCATTGAGAAGATTGTGATCACTGGAAAGTCAACAGTAGAAGAGGCAGACCAGGAGAAACTGCTCTTGGTGGACTGAAGCGATGACATTGAAGAATATCATCAGTGTAGTTGATTCACAATACCAAGGACGGAGATCAGTGAAGAGACGTGACAGCCTACGCCGCCCGGCAAGGTACATGATGGCAGTCGTGATGAAGTGTATAAACAACTGATAAAAAGAGAATATGAGCCGCCTTGATGTAGCGGCTACACGCTCGCCTGCGCATCGGAAGGTCGTGGGTTAGGGCCTTGACGGAGCCAGACCTTTTTCAAAAATCACCTTGGTTCCCAGGTCTACCCAGCCTTAGATGGGTACCAGGTAAAGTCCTTGGAAGTAAAGGCGACGGGCGTGATTAGACCACATCACCCATCCAGTGCCAATTTGTCTCTGTAAAAATATAGATATAGCCCCATATGCCCAGTCCGCATAAAGGCATGGAAACAAGTTTTTATTTTTATTTTTAAAGAATGATTATTTATGGTTAGGGAGAGAGTACTAAGCTGCCTCCCTCCATCCTCCCTCCCCCCCCCCCACCAACTGCACATTTTCTAGGAGTTGCAAGAGTTGGGCTCAACCCTTTTAAAATCAATTACGCTTTTTATTGCGTTCGACAAAAATGAAGGGCGAGGGGATTGTGGGATCATGATGCCTGGAGCGCCGCCTTTACAGGTTCCGGTGCAGATAAAGTCCCACAGTGTTTAAGTCTATTGTTAGACTTTACCGTGATCGCTCATTACTAAACTTTGTTTTATAGAACAAAGTGGAATTGTGAACTGTTTTGTAGTTTGTTTTTGGGAAGTGTTTTCGTGTGAAAACCCAGTTTATTGGCTGTTGAGAGTCAATTTTCGCTTGTTAAATGGCGACTGTGTGTATAAGTAAATAAGATATTATATGTTTCACTGAGCAATTAATGTGTTCCAATTGTATCGTGTCAAGCTGACCAACAGGATACGTGTTGATCACTTTCAAAGGGAAGCAAACTGCAGATTTTCTAAAGTTTACATCTCTTATCCTTTTAAACAAAGACAATTGCGACCACTGAACAAAAAATGTAGGAGGGGTGAAAATAGCTTGTGCACACTAGGAAATAGTTCTGCTCTTTTGTCGCCGGCTGAAACATTGAATTAGGCAAATAGATCTACTTGAAAACCTAACACAGGCAACTCTTTTGTTTGCTTATCTCCCCTCCCGTCGTTTCGTGTAGTGTTCGGTAATTTGGGGTTATTTTCAGATCGTTTTGTTGCAAGGTAATGTCAGAATAGGTAGTTTATTGATTATCCACTTTTGCAAGTATTTTGTCTGTATCGTCATCATCATCATCATCATCATCAGGTCCTTTACAGAACGTCGTTTTCGTTATGGCTGTCCTGAAAGTATCTCTTTAGCCCGCCCTATGTGTTTTGATAGAAAATAATCTTTAGTCACGTCTCGTTTTCTGGAAACTGTACCTTCCGTCACCGTTCTCTCCAGACCACAATAACGTTTAACAAGGCAAAAATACATCGGCTTTCGGGACAGGATGCTGTTTATGAGCCAATTCTCCCTGTTGCTAAGATCATGCAGGATGTAGGTGTGTTTCTTCTCTTTGGCCCATTGTTTTATGAGAAATGTTTTGTAGCAGATGAGTTAAAACCCCACCCCGGCTATAGTCCAGGGCCCTATTTTAACCTAATGCTTGAACGGGGTTTCTTAGACGTGCTTGGGTAATCCTCATCCAAATGGTGGTACTTTGTGTCACCGGGTTTGGTCGCTCGTTGTGCGATCCTGGTGAGGTTGAACGACCGACATAGCATGTCAGCTCCAGTGATTGCTTAAGATTCCACGACTCCACGAATCAGTTGTACGTATAGTTGAGATCCATTTAAACAAACCTCGATGTTGTTGACACACAACTTTCACGGTGATTTTAGAATTGGTTGTAACAACATAGATCCTTTCAAACGACTGGAAGCCATGATTGTAAATGCTCGAATGTCTTGTGTTCACATCCAAATCAAGTCACAGTTGTTTTCTTCAAAACCGATTTTGGCTCCCAGTTCGACTCAGCCTTAAATGGGTACCATGTAATGTGTTGGGAAGTAAAGGCGGCCAGCGAGATGTTGACCACATCACGTATCAAATTAGGGTTGATCTATCAAATATAAGTCTGACATGATATCCCGGTTACGCCTCTGGCGTCACAAATTCGCAAAGTAATGTTGAAGACCAACTCAGCCAGACATACACAAAACCAAACCGCAGCCTTGAGGTTTATAAAAGCACTCTCAGAACTAAGTATAAATGAACGCATCCAGAGCAGCAAAAACAGTACCAACCTCTGACGATCTGCCTTATGCATTTACTTTGCGTGTGCGATCTTCCAGACATTGCTGGGACTGACATATTTATCACTACTTTTTAAATGGGACAGTGAAGGAGATTTTGTAGGATTGTCACTGACCCAGGGAGGGATCACACATGGGACAACAGGTCTGCAGTGAAGCTGGAACCTCGACTAGCGACTGGAGTTACAGAGCATCATGTAGCAGACGACCAGCCCTGTGGGAGAGGGAGGGGGGGGGGGTCCAATTTAAGATCTATGGTGCCATTTCAATGGTTTGAAATGAATTCTGTCCGTATTCCATAGTTGTGGATTTCAAGCTGTACGATAGACATGGCCAATAGGACACATTTTTTTGGGGGGTGCCTTGTTGACCATGTTCTTAGTGCACTTGTATCCATGGCAAGGCGCAAACGCCGTCTGGAGGTGTCAGGTTCAATTCCCGGCACGGTAACTATAGCTTTCGATTTTTATGTTGTCTAATGTGTTCTTCTATCTTTCTAATTCTTTCTATGAGTGCCAATCAATACACTTTCTGTTATTTAATTAATTAAGAACTATATAGGACACATCCTAGTGTGGTGAAGACGATTCTCTCGCTTTGAAATGAGAGGATGCGAGATGTCAATAATTATTTCCCACCTATCAGTGAACAGTTGTACATCTCTCTCTCTCTCCCCTCCCCCCTTTCACTAAAATGCAGTTGCGATTGAAAAGATGATTGAGTAAAAGGGCCGAATGTGAGATGGGCTTACGTGTCGAGTTTGTAACCCTTGGGAACAAATTTCGTTGGTATGTTTGTTAATTCGTTTTCTCTGCTGCCATTTCTCTATCTGTATTTTTCTATCTGTTTCTAGCTCTTTCGTCATCTCTCTATGTGTGTGTCTTCTCCCTATCTTTCACGATTTATGTACGCATCTGTCCCTCTCTCTCTCTCTCTCTCTCTCTCTCTCTCTCTCTCTCTCTCTCTCTCTCTCTCTCTCTCT